AACACTAAATGGATTTCCCAAGAGTATTCTCAGTCCTGAAACAAGGGACCTCGTACTGCCGGCCCCCAGGGCAACAGGGCATCCATCTGGCTCTCCTCAGCCACATGCCACTCTCACCACCTGGCTGCGGCCCACCCCCCTGCCTTACCCACCACTCAAGACATCACATGTCTGAAATGTGCTGCTTTTGAACAAAACCTGAAATCAGAGTGATTATCTGCATTAAAAAGAACTCAGTTCCGCAAAAGAATCTGAATTTCTCTTCTTTTAAACACTTTTTACTTCATTTACATGTTTCATTGCACATATGATTTCTTGCCTGAAAGGGAAGTCTAGAAATGAAACTGGCTGAAAATCTGGGAGTTAGAAGCTGTCATTCACTCATCTACAAGAGACAGAACAGCTTGGAAAATCACTGTCAGTCAATGTGCCTTACATAAGATTCTGGAGAAATACATCCATTTTGTAAAAAAACAAGCTATTCCAATATTCATCTTATCTTCTTCCTTAGAAAGACAAGTTTGAGAGACTCAAGTTGACCATCATAAGGAAATGAGTAACTGAGTTACGATAAATCTGTTTACTAAGATTTCAGCCATTTAAAGGGACATTTTTAAAAACTAATTATATGGATAAATGTCAGCTACAAACGACAAAGGAGGAGACAAAATTGTCTATATATTACATTTACGAATGCCTGGGAGGAAAAGTCCTATGCATGTGGGAGAAGATTGGAACGCACCTAAAACATTAATAGCAGTTATGCTTAAGCGGGACTATGGGTGACTGTTTTTCCTTATTCTTATCTATGCATTTCCTAGATTTAAAAAAAAAATATATATATATATAACTTTTACAAAGGAAAAATAAGCCTATATTCAAGCTAAATAATTTTCAAGCCCACAGCCACTCACCCCAGCTGGTGAATTCCCATTTCATCTGCACATAGAAATCCGGAGCCTGAAGGACAAAGATTTAATAAATTACCCTGGGCACCATTAACTAACCACAGGCATGGTAAGGGTTAAGAGGATTTTTTAAAGGGGGAAGGGGATCAAACGGAAAATAAGAAGAAACATAAATTGCAAACCCATCAAACGAAATGCTTATTTTATGTTCAGGCTGTTATTTTATCTCCATATAAAATATGTCTAGACAGTTAATAAAGTTAACTGCAAGCAACAAGGTTGGAGGGAGATAAAAGTCAAATCTAATTTAGGGGCTCAATTGGGTTCCTAATAGTAGCAGCAAATGAGCCAGAAGGATGGGCTCAAACACCATCACTTGATGTGGGTAACAGGCTAGTCTAGGCGGAGAGAGAAGAATGTGGACTCCATCTGCTGTACAGGGAACATGACTGTAAAAGGCTCTGTGTGCTGGGAAGTGCTTCGTGTTTACTGGACCACTCCGTGAAACCAAGAGGGTGCGAGGCACCACTTCCCCCGGAAGCTGAGTTTTCCCTCCAGTTAACAGATTTGCCCCAACTCTCCTCTTAAACTCTTAGAATTTGTCCCTGTGAGGGTCACACCACCACATCAGCCCTACCTACTTAGGATGATTTTCTGACCCACCATGAATTCCTATAGAAGATTATTGGAGAGCTACTTAAGAAATCCAACAGTTACCATCCAAGAAGAGAAACGCTAGAAATTCCAGGTGTTTTTTCTGTTCCAAAAAAAACAGATTCCAATGATAGGCGAGGATACTCCAAGGGGCAGTGGACAAGAAATGGATGTATATAAAAAGGAGACGCTGTTGACAGACCATCAGCCACGGCCTCTGGTGCCTGTAGGCACAGGGTATTTGTGGGCTGTCTATAGCCTCCAGGAGAGAATACAATTCAATGCAGTCCATTGCTACGGATCAATACAGGTGAAAAAAGAAAATCCTTTACACTGAATTTTTTAAATGTGGGTGACTCCACGTTAAATAGTCATTTTCTGCTTTGTCAAATGGACAAATGATGTTTTTACTTCTTCCTGCAGTGAGTTAGAGAAAACAATGAATCTATGTGGCCTTTGTGCAAACACACACCTATTTTAAAAACGATGCATGAACATATGTATGTATATGCATGACTGAGACACTGTGCTGTACACCAGAGACTGACACGTTATAATTGACTGTACTTCAATTTAAAAAATAAATAAAAACAATGGATACAACTATTTCATATTTCATGGGAGATTTCTGTGTGGAACATGGAAAATGAGTGTCTTAGGCAGGATTTAG